TTTCTTCTCATTCTTTGCCCATCCTTCTCACAGGAACCTATGTTTGGCTCTGCAGGAGTAATCATTAGAGAATCTTTTGAAAATAGGATTTTGCTGACAGGGCACATCCTACGTCCGGGATTCCCAGGTCGTATCCGGTTGCTTAGAGAAGGGGTGTTAAATGGTTTGAAAATTCTTATCAGCTGTTGATTATTCTACAAAATCTCCTGAAAAATTCAAGTTGGGAAAAAGCTCAGTATGTGGGTGATAGGTAGGATGGGAGGAGCAAAGAAAGAAAAATTTTCAAGTAATGGGAGACGTTTTTTGCAAAATTCCTTGTCAGCAGCAGGATGTGCCCTGTTTGCTGAGCTCGTCTCAAGTATAGCTTTCCTAAAGGCATGTTCAATCCAAAAATAGTTGCTATGAGTTGCCTAGAGCTCTTAAGAAGTGGTAGATTCTATTGGGACATGGGGAAGCTCGTGCTTTCATGGCATGAATTTTCAACATGCACAAGAGAAACTCTTCAAAGTGATCTCAAATGATCAACGGTTTGCCGCTGGTAGAATGGATTGGTAGAATGGTTAAATTTTTGAAAAAATGCGTAGGGAGAGTGAGGAATCCAGTAAAGTGCTGGGTAATTCATGAGAGGCTTACGCACTGGGACGGGAAGTTGGGAGGAGGGGAGATCACCTTACCATCGTACATTTGCTCATCGGAATGCTGTACTCAGATTCCTTCCAATCTTACAGTAGGCTTTCGCTCATACTTAGCACAACCTCACAAGAACCTGTAGTTAGTCCTGCAGGACTTACTATTGGAAAACCCTAGGATTTCGCTGAGCTAACCCCAGGTACAGCTTTCCTGGGGCATGTTACGAGAGGTGTTCAGTGTATTCTCGGTATAGGTACGACGGAAAAGGCAGAATAGAATTTAATTCTCAATATCCCACAACCTCAGTACACTTGTTTGCTCGGGAAACTAACTTTTCAGTACCCTCAAAAAATATTTTTCCTCTTTGTTCCCAAAAAGTCCGCTAATTGCCGCCTTCGGCCTTTCATCGTCAGAAAAACGCTTTCCACGAGAAAAAACGTTTCAACAGTTCAGTTTTCTTTTCATTTTTCTCAATTTTTTTGAATTAGTAATCATTTTCTCGACATTATCGCACCAGATATCCTGGTCTTCTTTCACCAAGGATAACTAGTAGCGTTGATGATAACTAAGTTGAATTTGTTTATGCCCTCAGGGAGTGTCGTTACGTATTGAAATGATTTTATTTCTTTCCTCACTGCAAAATTACCCCGATACCGAAGGGTTGTTGTGGGATGCATGAAGGTCCTGGAGGTGATACAGTTTCCTTTGGGGAAGCGAAAAAACCTTACAGTTTCCTTTGGGGAAGCGAAAAAACCTATCTTTCACGGTATCAGTTGGCTACACAAACAAGAGAAAGCTTTCCACAGTGACCTTCGATGATCGTTGGTTTGCCGTGCGGATGTTCTTCTGTCTAAGAGGTATCATCAAAATGTTCCGAAAACATGATAAGACATAATACGACATGCTTTGTGTTGTCTTTTCTCAGTAACTAAACGATTCATCGAGGCCACACAGTAACATCGTTGTCGTCGTCGTCGTCGTCGTTGTCGTCGTTGCCGTCGTCGCGTCAGTCGTCAGTCGCGTCACCAGCGTTATCGTCGTCGTAAGGGGCGGTACTGACCACGCCTCTTCGACAAACCACGTTCTCACACCCTTTGCTAGTTCCCACGACAGGCTTGATTCAGTTCTGCTATGCTTTGTATTTTACTGTTAATACCAGGTATGAAGTTTTTCCTCATCATTCAACATTTTTCTTTTCTCTTTCTTACACTTTTCACTTTTCTTTTCCTATTTCACATTATTCATTGTTCATCAATGTTCCGTGCCGTAATGCACTCACTTGCCAGTCTTCTCAAGGTGATTTCTTTTGAATTAAAATCGTTTTCTCGTCTTCGAGAAAGTTCTGAAACCCTTGTTGTTTCTTTCGAAGTTCCTAAGGTTTCCGTCCAGGTTTTCATGCTTTTCGATGCTGGTTTCACTAGTATGCATCCGAATGTTTGCCCAGCTATCTGGTAGCTATTGAGAGGTGAGCGTCGTCGTTGTCGTCGTCGTCGTCCAGTTTCGATGCCCTCATCTCCCGTCCTCTCCTCCTCATCGTCGTCGTCGTCCACCACCATCTCGTCACGCTACATTTACCTATCAATTGTTCAATGCTGCTTTCTGACCAACGAAAACCACCCGGTAAAATCGAAAACGATCCAACTGTTGGTAGACCTAACTGGGAAAGCGAAACATTACGACAGCTGTGGAAAAACTGGGAGTAGGTAAGGACAAGCAGGAAGAAAACGAAGAAATCCATACGTACACACTGACTGGTAATTGCCTTAAACAGTTGTTCGGCTCCTTTTGGCGAAGGTCAAACCTTGTACGACGACGCAGACGACGACGACGACGACGCAATCACATACCACAATCTCAGTCTCAGACTTAATGAGATGCTGATTTTCCGTCAACTTTTTCCCCAGCACCCATACATTTGCACAAGCGTAGCCACCTTAAGAGAATAAGAGGGGGCAAGTCGTCATCGTGGAATTGTCTCCATTAATCAATACAATATAGATGCTGTGTGTGAATGTTCGCTCTCATCACGCTAGACGGCTTAATGCGCTTAGAAAAACTACCTAATGTAAAGAACTAGTCACTTCCTGACCACCACAGGTGGCTTCTGGGAGATGGTGAAGCTGAGGCGAGGGGGGGGCAAGGGGGTTCAGATGATTGTTTTGTCGTTTAGCGTTGCAGATATATTCTCGCAATATGATCGTAGTTCATCCGATCACCGCCGTTCTTCACCGTAGCAAGTTTCGTTCCATTGTCTCGTCGTAATCGCTGGGCTAAACCTTTGCATTTCCGATGTATCTCGTGCTTCGACACGCAATACAATTAGCGTCGAGCGCCAGGGTCCACCTGATTAAACCCATTTTCTCTAGGCTTTTCACAGCCTTCGAAGGAATTTATGAGAGATTTTCGGAGCATAGAAAAACATAGAAGCTTTCACTATGGTTCAAAATTGGCTGTACTGGTAGCACATCGCCTCTGCTGCCTAGAGAAAGTTCGGTTTACCTCCCTCCCCTACCACCCTTGAGAAACCACCAAGAAAGGTTATTGAGCGAGGAATGGAATCGAACGAACGATGAGGAGGGGGAGGAGACGAAGAGATAGCCCTAATTCTGCCTCTAGAGTCTATACCCGTCCCGGGACAAATCTTTGACTAGGTTAGTCACAGAAAAGCTATTGGTATAAAAGGTAATTATTAGAAAATCGAAGAAGCGATGGGAGGAGGGGGTTGCAGAAAACGTAAGGTTTTCCTCTAGTAACCTGGACAAATCTACCAGGTTACTAGAGGGAAATTCAATCAGGTAGGAAATCGAACGAACGGTGAGGTGGGGGCAGAAAACGACGAGTTAGCCCAGATTCTGTTCCTCAATTCCCATCCGGTCTTTATAACAGCAGGGTACGTCGCAGCCGCGGAACAGCCACCCCAGGGGTCTTATTTATTCTCATTTATATCTTGTTTAACATCTAAACCGGGTCTCCTTTGGGGTTCCAGGACAAATCTATCAGGTTACTCAAGAAAAACTTACTGAGTTGTTTAAAATTTTGAACAAACGAGGGGAAGGAAGAAAACGAGGAAGATTCAAGTCCCCGGTGTTTATGACAGCAGTACGTCTCACGGCCGTGGAACAAGCACACCAGGGGGTCTTATTTACTGTCATTTTATGTATTATTTAACATCCACACCAGAGATGGGAAGAACGGGGTTCCAGAAAGAACAGGAGCCTAGCTAAACTCCATTCTGTTTCTCAAGTCTAAGCCAAGTATTTCTGACAGCAAGGCAGATCATAGTAGTGGAACGGCCACAGCAGGGTTTTATTTACTGTTATTTTATGTCTTGTTCAACTCCACGACAGGATGGACGGGAAGGAATAGGGAGGAAACGGTGAGCCTACCCAGCTTCCGTTTCTCAAGTGCAACACCGGTCTTTATAAAAACTATAAAAACTATAGAAACGGAAACTAGACTACTTCCTTGAAATCAATAAAAATAAAAATAAAAATAAAAACAAGTTCAATTCTAAGATTTTAATATAAGTAAATCATAGCACAGTTTTGGACATCGATGTTTCAATATTGTAAAAGTACAATCTAAGTAAATTAAAAAATTTTAAATCACACTTTATAAAAGCTGGGTACGTCATGGTCGTAGTACCTCCACACAATGGCTCTTGCTTACTTTCATTTTGGGCATTATTCAACATCCATTTTGGGGTCTTATTTGGTCCTCTGACAGGCAGGGGCTCGTAACTGGTTTAGGAGAAGGTGAGAGATCCATGCTGGAGCAGCATTTTCTATATCCCTATGAAAACCCCTTGATGACAGGTGTTAGATCGGTCAGGATTTAGCTTCGACAAATCGATGGCGATGTGGCTTAAAGTGGCAGCATACGCATCAGTCCGGTCATTTTGCCCCCAAATCTAGTCGTTTTTGAGCTTTTCGATAGCGCAACGCTAGCACACCAAAACACTTGCAACGGTTCCTGTTAGCCACGATCCATCGTCAGCCATAGCCAACAACAACTAGGCACTAGGCTGGACTGTCGGGCGCCTAATCCCTTACAAATGGCTGCACATCGTTCCAGCTTATGGTTAAAGACGGTGGCCATCTGAGCCGCTTTGAGTCCCTTGTTCTGTCCCAAAAAGTCGCTGTTGTACGGTAGTGGGGTGGGGAGGTTCTGGTAGTAACTATCGTATTACTACACGGTTTTTGAGCGACAAATAGGCGGAAATGTATTAGACAAGGGTTTGCGAGCCGTTACAGCCCCGTGCCGCCTTGTTGCCAATGTCGAGACAACAACAAAGCCTATCAACGAATCGAGTTTTCGGCCTGTGTAAGGTTCATTCATACACGCGGGTGGTGTAATCAACGTCGCATCATATGCAAGTGCATGAGAATAGCGCCGCACAAAGGAAAAATCAAATAAGCAAGGCTTGTCATTTGGGCCATCAATCGTCCCAATCATCATCTACGTATATTCCAGGGGTGCTTTCACAAACACTTTCGCCTCCGATCACCTCCAGATTCAAGTGTCTCACCAATGGCTGTTGCGATCAGCATGAATGGTGCCGGTTCTGGGCGTCAATCGGCGAATGTCAGGTGAGTCTCGTTTTAGGGGGGATAAGAGGCCATCTTGGCTTACTAATCCCTCAACTAGTAGAACCGATTACGATGATGATCGGGATCAGTGCACGTCATAGTTGCGAAATGTACCTTGTAAGAGGGTAAGAGGGAGTGAGGTCGTACTTAGCCACTGGAGAGGGAAGGTAGTTACCGAGTTGAAACCTTTTCAACTTTAAGCCCCGATCTACCGCATGATGCGACCATTCACTTTTTTTGCTATATCTGATAGACGGCATACCATGCCAGGGAATTCCTTTGTAAGTCTATACAGTCTATATCTTCGAAAGTATGAGAGGGCGTGGCTCTATTCTTTGACATAGGGTAGATCCGTTCATCGTGGAAGTTTCTACTTAAGACAGCGATCATCTTTCCTCGTTCTGGACAATGAAGTCATTACAACTGCTCCGAATCAGTCACATCCCACCAAAACCACGGTCGCCATTGCGTTCAAATCTGGTAGCCAAGCAGAGCCAAGCAGCCACCCTCTCGATCTCCGTGTTGCAGTTATGACTGCAGTTAAAAAAGGGAAAAAAATGAATTCAGAAAAATCTCCCCGGGCCAACCATGCCGCTTAGGAAACCAACGCGTAAGGCCCAACCTGACGTTGATCACCGTTCTTGCCCCTTTTTTCTGCCCACGTTCGGACGGATGGTGCGAGGGGGGCGTATTTAGGAAGAGTGTTCCCACATTCCATGATGATCCCTACGGGGAACACAGCTCCCACACCTGGCAGAACCGCTACAGCACTGTAACCAAGCGATTTCGATGATAGGGTCCAATGCAAGACACCACAGTCTCGCGAGCTCACTGACAGTTGAAGGGGAGTCGTATTTGGTCACTGGGAGGGGGTGGGAGGTTGTATTCAAGCAGCGTAAATTTCTTCCGTCTACCATCTTTACTTTCGGGTAGGAATACTCCGTTCTCAATATTACTCTATTGGTGGAGGTTATTCTACATTGATCCCGTTGGGGGGAAGGGGTAGTATCGAGGTGGTTTTCAATTCCCATGATATACCCTATCGGGATCCTCCTGCCAATCTCAAGCATCTGGGAGCTATTTGACCCTATCTGATAGATGTGATTCAGATAAACGAGGAATGGATGAGTGGGAATTGTCAGCTGGCCTGCGGAACATGTATGGCAGGACCGGCTACACATGGTGAGTCTTTCGCAATCATGTTCGTCTTGCCTTCCTCAGCTTATTTTCCTTTGTCATGTCAACTTCCTTTGTCTTGTGATCCTTTTAATGTCCTCTATAAAGACTCATGGCGACAATGACTCATAAGGGAACTATTGAGTGAATGCCCAGACCCAGTGTGGTTCGGGAGCGAGTTCCTTTTATGGTTCCCTTTGTGCCGAGAGTTTATGTCTATTAGATTGCATCATTGCCACCTCTGACTCTTTTAAATGAATAGTTGATTACCTTAGGGTGAATGATGCCAGTAAAGCTACTAACATAAGGCCCAGGCAGTAAATCGAACTTCTTTTGCTACAGCACTGCAACCAAGTGAGTTTAACCTGGCGCGCACTTCATGGACTCAAGGTCATTCGTTGCTGATGAGTGCATCCATCTGACAGAGACAAGCATTCGCCCCGAAAAATGGTGCTAAAGATGAAGAGAAGGGAAATGTGGTGTGGCGGAAAGCACTACGTTTGTCTTTGAAAATGTCCTTGGCAGCACGCGAAACCAGCATCATTGACAGCTCATAACCAATTTATCTTTGGCCGCACAATTTCAGGAACACGTTCATGACGTCTAGTTCGAGCTTCCTCATTTCTTCACCTGAGATTGATTTGAGGCTTTGCACCCGCGAGATTCAAGCATGGCAGTAAAAACGGAGGGGCCATAAAAACCAGCAGTGGGGAACGTTTTATAGGGCCTAGTGACCAGTTTGGTCCACGCTGCTGGGTCTGATCACTTATGTGGCTTTTCCTAGGCTGACACCAATACCTGGTTACGCCCAATTATTTTGCGACAGGAACAATTTAAACTGATTTATACCTATTGCGTGATGTTGTTTTGCCCCCACCTGGTCGGCGGTGTTGTCTCCGACGATACGTATTGTCCACGCGTTCATAACCGGTCTCATGTGAATTGAAGCATTTCGATCAAGAGGCTGCGATATGATGACGAAGAAAAAGCTGAGCGGTACGATGAAAACACAACAACAACACAAACCTTTCTTGTCCAGACCAACACAAACCCAAGCAAGCTTGTTGGCGCTACATAGGGCAACCATGGTGAATTCCTGGCATTCCAGGGACTGCTACTGACCTAATCAGGGCCCCTCTTACGTTGAGGATCCTCAGTGAGAGGGTTCCTATTTGAGGGTCGTACTTGCCTTGCGAGAAAGAAAGCTCTCGGTTGGACTCCCGTGTTTTTTCCAATCCAAGTGCGCTCCACATCTCTCCGACAACATCCTTTTAGGATAGGAAGCGGCGAAATTCTTGAAAAAACCGGGAGATTGTACATAGGTGGGCACGCGTGATCTCTCTCGTTATACACGTTCCTCGTACAAGCAGCTCCTTGCTTGCATGGCCACAAAGGGCAAACACAAGTGCGCGTCGGCTTGAATTTAGGCAGTTTTTGGGCAGTTTCGCGTTCAAGTACCGCATTTCATGAAGCTGGAAGGATGGGCGTAGAGCGGGACTCCCACAAGCGAGGCGATGTTTCCCAATCTTATAGTGGATGAATGGCTGTCTAACAAAAAGTTTTAGCATAAAACCCTTCGCCTGGCTGATGGTCTAGTCCATTTTTCGGCGCTCTCCCACCGTAAGTAATTTACCAGCTAATCGACATGTATTCTTCCGATACAGGCCACGCATTCCGATTCCATTTCGACTTTTTGTAAAGGATTTTGTCCCATAATGTTGCTAGTGCGTGACAGGTTCGATCGCGATGAAGGATTGGCCGGCGCAGGGAAATAATTTGACGCAATGTACTGACTTAATGGAGTCTTACAAGGGTATCGGCAAGTGACTTGGTGATTCAGAACGCAATAAGCACTGGCTGAAGATGCCGCGGGTGCTCATGTCCTAATCCACAACGACCGCCCGACCGATTACGGTGATTTCAACGTAGCCTGCATTGTCAGTATCGATCCTTATGGAATGATTTCATCAAATCGTTGCACATTTTTCCTAGTGTAGCAGGCGCTCCACCCCTACACCTAGTCCGTTCCTTTCATTGTCGAATCAATGGTCTTCCTGTAGCTCCAACAGGCTTCATGGCTTTTTGAGCCATCGCTCAGAACAGGAAGGGCACGCCTTTCACTTCAAGTAGGTCTTGATAAGGTTCTTCTATATTGTCGAAGACTTTGTTCAGGAAGGAAGGCTTGAATAGCCGAACCGCGCAGACTACAGAAGATCCCTTGATTTTGGACCAGTTTTGACCTTGAAATTGTATCTAGCCACGTTACAGTTAAAGCTGGAGTTAAGTGCGAAAACACCGAAGAAAAGCCCGTGGCCTCAGTATCGATCCTCTATGGATCAGATTTCGCAATCAAAAATGGTATAAGCACAGCTTTTTCTGAGCCCATTTATTCTCCTGTTCATTCTAGAGCTCCTTTTTGTCGTTCTAAATGAGTCTGTTAATTCCAATTTCAAGCCTCAACTGGGAGTTGAGAGTATATCCCGCAATTAGTGAGAAGGGTTCTTCTTTGAAATGGTGAGGTGGCTATGCCTCGAATCGCACAAGAAGCACCAATGTCGCTGCTTGTACTGAGTGACGAGGGCGCCGAGGTTATCATCTGCTTTACTAGCTCCGCCTACCAGTTGTTGTGCCATCCAGAGATAAGCGCCGTCGGGGAGTGCATTGATGTTTGTTGTCTTCGCTCGCCTTTCTGTTCTTTGGTTTATTGTATCTGGTCTCTCTACTGCACCCACAATGTCCCTTCACCTCTCGCGTCAGGTTCACGTTTTTTCTAGAAAACAGTTGGGGGCAGAAGACCTATTGAGGGTGCTTTCAAGCGGGGTTTTATTTAAAGTGTTTGCCTATTTTTCATTTTACCCTTTTTCCTTCGAACTAGTTAAAATTGGATTTGAACTACTGGACACTTTTTCTATTTGTTCTATTTTTCTAGTACATACGCAATTTGGGCGCCGAAGATCGCTCCCATAGGTGGAATGGTTGGAATGCTCATTGAGTACATGACGGAGTATTTACGAGTATCGGCGTTTTCTTATTAAGTCGGTCATCGGCAAACAGATTAAAACTGAAACTCGGCGACGTTCTTGGTGGTGGTAATCACCAAGGTCGAGCCGTTCTCCCAGCTCCAAAACAACCCAACCACACCTATGAACAGTTTAAAATGATCACCTTGGTATTGACCGACGTTTGCGAGAATGACTCAACGCGGTCAAGGCATAACGATCCCACAGAAAGGACTGAGATCTCCCTAATGGGATGAAGTTAACTTCCCGTGTCTGCATCGGGTAGGAGACACTTCGGATGAGGAATTCTCGAAAGTCAGGTGTTGTGGTGTGGCTGGGAAAAGGACTATGTTTAATTTGTTCAGAGGAGCCAGTCGTGGGGTGCAATAGTGAGGGAATCCCGGGAAAAAGGTGGTTTTATCGTTCTTTCTTCCCGGGAGTCTTCCCGCGAGGTCGCGTTTGCACCGCCACTTTACGCATTCCGGACGAGCTCGACTGATGTAGATGGAGTCCCCCCGTCACTTTCAAAGGGTAGCGCGTGGAGAGAGAACCTTCGATACGATCGCGCTTTCTCAAGCTAGGTTTCCCAGGAAAAAGGCGAACCTGAAGCCAGAGGCTGAAGGACATGCGGTGTAGTAGAGAGACCAGAAACAGATTAAATCAATAGAACCGAAATGGAGCCGAAGCATCCAAACATTCGGTGCGACTCGCCAATATCGCTTATCTCTGGATGCACCAACAATCTGGTGGCGAGTAGTGAAGATGATAGCGCATCGACGCCCTCGTCAACTCACTGTCGAGCGCAGCAAAACTGAATGGTGCTTCTTCTACAATTCGAGGCGTAAGCACTCCACCTTATGCAATATGCTGGAGGCAAATCGTTGTGTCCGCATTGCGTGATATGGATTCTAGAGCAGCAAACAATTGCGTGCTTGGACTCTCCGAAGCCAGAAGCTCGATGGTAACTCTTAAGCTTTCATCTTCTTTAGGGGCGACCTGGAAGACCTTAGCGCTGACCTTCCGAGAAGTAACAATCGTGTTGGAGCCCATATTATTCGCTTACTGTACCGGTGACTTGACGAATCGGATTGCTGGCTTCGGGTGGTGCCGATTCGCATCTAACCAGTGCTTGCTCACGCCGGCTATTAGAGCAACTGCAAGGATCTACCCGAAAATAAAAAAACCATCAGCACGCCCGCTAGACTTTGCTATGTTGCGCTACCGTATGCTTATGAGCACGTCTGATGCGCTGTGCGCCGTTAGGATTTTTTCGCTCAGTCCATTGCTTTCCAGCTGGCCCGTTTACTATAAGAGCCCACAGCCCGATCTATAGCGCCGCGAAGCGCTTCCTCCTCCAGAGATTGCCCTCGGAGGAGTTTTTGGACAAGCGTTTCTTTTCAGTAGTCAGCCTCCCAGCTCTCAAATATTATCGGAGTAAAAATCGATAAGCAGGAAACCTTCAGCACACCAACAAGCTTTCACGGATGTAAGGATTACAGTCGAAGTAGGCATCAACGCTAGGCTGTCTAATCTTTAATGGCTTAATCAACCAGGTCATATATCCATAAAGGGTGAATTGATAGGGCTGAACATGGTCGGCTCGTTTAAGGTTGTCTATCAAATCTAATTCGAACCTATAGTGCCATCTTATTCGCACCGTGGAATTATTTTTACGACTCTTTGAGATAACAATCATTTAGCATTGATACACCCTTTCCTGGTAGTGCGCCAGCCTCTTCTGCCTGACCAACGCGTACGTGCCTTATAACGGCTGTAACAGTCTACACCATGATGATCTGGAGGGGGCGGGGGTCGAGGCGCTGGGATGGGTAGCCAATGTGCGGCTTAGCAAAGTGTCGAATCTGCAGCCAATTCTGGTACCACTTATCTGCCCAGGAGAAGAGAGGGTGGGGTCTGTGAAGAGAGCTCAATGTAGCCGCTCCATCTCTGACCTGTCCTTTTTCGACAAGGGGGAATACAGGAACGACTGCGGGAACGAATACATTTGCGAGAGTAAGAGAAAACGAGCCAATGTTGACAGAATTTTGAACAGCTGGAGATAACCACTGCTTCTGGAGTGCGCCACGCATCTGACTCAGCAATGAAAATCATGCAGTGTTTGGAAA